GGGGGTGACTGAGAGTGACAGGGAGGGGGGTGGTTGCTCGCGTGAGGGGGTGGCGATGGGCAGAGGGAGGGGTGGGATGGTCGGAAAGGGAGGTAGGAGAGCGGTGACGGGGAGGGGTAGATGAGCGGGTCTAGGGGAGGTGTAGATAAGTGGCCGTGAAGATCGTCGGGGAGTGGCTGGATGTGAATGTCGGGTGGCGGGGTGGAGCGGGGGAGACTGGGAGTGGCAGGGAGGGGGGTGCTTGCTCGGGTGAGAGCATGGCGAAGGCCAGAGGGTCCGTGGGGGATAGCGAAGGCGAGAGGGTGTTTGCTCGGGTGAGAGAATGGCGAAGGCCAGAGGGAGGGGTGGGATGGTTGGACGGGGAAGTAGGAGAGCGGAGAAGGGGAGGGGTAGGAGAGCTGGTCTAGGGGACGGTGTAAAGTAGTGGCCGTGAAGGTCGCCGGGGAGGGCGGGATGTGAAGATCGGGTGACAGGGTGAAGCGGGGGTGACTGGGAGTGTCAGGGAGGGGGGGAGTGCTCGGGTGAGGGAGTGGCGACGACCAGAGGGAGGGGTGAGATGGTCGGGCAGGGAAGTAGGAGAGCGGTGGCGGGGAGAGATAGATGGGCTGGTCTAGGGGAAGGTGTAGAGTAGTGGTCGTGAAAGTCGTCGGGAAGTGGCAGGATGTGAGTATCGGGTGACTGGGTGAAGCGGAGGGTATGGCGGATCTTCGGGGAAGGACTGGAGGGGGCGAGGTGATTAGAAGGTGCCGGAGGAAAGGGAGAGGAAGGGTCGACTGATGAGAGGAAGCGGAGGGGATGGGCGGTATGCAGGGTTAGGAGTGGTGGAGGGGAGTGGGCGTGATATTGGTCGGACGGTGACGGGAGGTGTGCCTGAGGTGACAGTGTTTCGCGAGGGGTATCTGTGAACGACGGGGAGGGGGGTAAGAAAGCAGGTGAAGGGGTGGCGACGAGCGGGACAGAGGGTTAGGAGGTCTATCGGGATAAGGGAGGGGGGAGGAGGTAAGAGCAGTGGAGGGTAGATGGTGAAGCGAGGGTTAAGTGTGATTGTCGGATGTACTGGCGGAGATTGGGTAGAGCGGGTGCGGGGGCGAGATCTTAGAAGGAAGCTTCAGGCATGGCCTTTTGTTCGACGGGGGAGAGGAGGGGGTGTCGAGTGTGGATGGAGGTAGAGAAGCTGGGTATACTCCAGACGGTGGAATTTGGGGTGTAGATGAGAGAAATTAGAGGGTTTAGATTCGGAGGAGAAGAGATTAAGGAACGAGGGTATACCTAAAAAGGAAGGAAAGTGAGATGCCGAACGAAATACGAAGCGCCGAGTGAGAAGGCCGCAGCTGCCCAACCGTTGGCTCCGGAGAAGGGCGTAGGTCAAAAAGGCTGTAACTTTCTTGATTGAAGGATGTTGGCGAGAATCCCTTGAAAATGCAAGCGCCTGAGACTAGCGTGAATCTCCTTTCTCCTTCTGGGCCTTTCCTCCATTCCACTTCCCCAAAAAGGAATGGGGGAGTGGTGGGCCAGTGTAGGGAGAGCAGTTTGTTCCTCTGGAGCTAGTAGTGTCGAGAGAGCCCAAGAAAGAATCGGGGCCGCAATGATTGGAGATTCGTATGATGGCCCAGCCCGTAGAGCATGCTCTGTGAAGGCATCTCATGGGCCGTGATGCTCACCTTCCATTCCAAATCTCATCCTGAGTCTGCAGGTGAGAAACAGCTTGGGCGGTGGAATTCCCCTCTCCACGCCGATGCTCGGCCTGCTTCTTCCAGTGGAGGAGCTGCGCGGGTGGTGGGCCCCTACTTCGATGGTGCCTTGTGATGATGAGGAAAACAGCGTCCGGCGAGCTTCCTTGGAGCGTAGCATAGGCTGCTCCTTGCTCGATCGATTGAGGTGAAATGTCTTCGAACCAAGCACATGATGGAGGCCAGATACAGACGGAAACTACTTTCTCCCGCTGGGCCTTTCCCCGACCATCCTCCCCAAAAAAGGAGGGAGAAGTGGTAGGCCAGCGAGGGGAGAATGATTCTCCTACCCCTGGCTACAATGGCTGGTGTCTGTATCTCCAAAATAGTAGACAGGGGGAATTCATCGTCCGGACATAAACACGCAGTAGACAAGAGAAGACCGTGTAAATCCCTGTAGCGGAACACTCAGTCCGAGTGTTACGCCGGTAGTCTGGTTAGTTCTGTGTGGGAGATTTCCTGAGAACGCAGGGGGGTTGGTCCCCGAGGGTGTGGTTTCTACCACGGGAAGAAGACCGTCATGGTAGGTTGACAGCCATACCCCAGCTCCTCCTCCCTCTTGGTAGGAGGGGTGGGTAGCTATGGTGAGATAAACCTAGCTGAGCGAGCCACGCGATAGCGCAGGGGAACGAAGCGCGGCCGAAGTCGCGTGCAGGTCCCCCCTCTCCGCCCAGGGCAGAGTTTCTAACTGCAGTCTAGTCATCCACGTCGGAGCGCCAGGCCGTTTTCCAAAAAAAAACAGAAGAAACAAGAAGAAAAAAAGAAAAGCTCGTGGCGCTGTATCTTTCCATGATCTAGCGGAAGATTCACTCTCAGTTTCCTCCATCGAAATGTGCAAAACCAGAGTGAATCTTGGCTAGAACATGGAAAGATACAATGCCATGATTTCAATTTTTTTGTGCAACGGGCAGGGCCCCGACGAGATACACGGGCCAGGCCGTTTCCCGAAAAACAAAAAAAGAAACAAAAAGAAAAAAAGAAAAGCTCGTGGCGCTGTATCTTTCCATGTTCTAGCAGAAGATTCACTCCAGTTTCCACGATCGAAATGTGCAACACGAGAGTGAATCTTCGCTAGGACATGGAAAGATACAGCGCCATGATTTATTTATTTTTTTGTGCAACGGGGATACAGGGGCCCAACGAGATACACGGGCTGACAACAACGCAGAGGCCCTAGAGGATACACGAGCTGAAAACAACACAGTTTCTTTTGTTTTTTTTTTCGTTTTTGTGTTTCATTCTCAGATTTCCCTACCTATGCGTGTCATCCTTRGGGCCTCGTGGCGTTGCATCTTTCCATGTTCTAGCGCAAGATTCACTCTCGTTTTGCACTTTTTTTTTTCTTTTTTTTTTTAAATATCTCAGCACCGTCGCGTGGTTGGCCACTGCCACGATGCCTCGGCCACATCCGAGGTAAAAAAAAAAGAAAAAGACACCGTAACCCTATTACGGCGAGGGCCCTGGAGAGAGACCAGGGCCGGACGGGTTCCTTCCGTCCTTCCGCTGCAGTCGAAGTTCGGTTTTGTTGTTGACTGGATCTGCTGGAGGTAGTTTGGTGCGTCTTCAAACAATGGGAGGTCTGTCTGTTTTCGGGGAAGATGGGCTTTCAGCGGAGATACTCTTCGGTGACCAAGTAAAAGCAGGTCGAATGAAGGTATAACGTCCAACCCCCACCCCACAACCCCTTGGTTGGTGTAAGGAATTACGGTTTATTTATTCCCAATTAAGGATTACTTCGGTTTAACTTTAGCCTAATTTGGTAGAGATTACTGTTAGCTCTTGGTCTTTTCGTTGGGGATGGCGGCCGATGGGCCGTCCCCCTCGGTAACACCGGATGAGGTAGTTCGCATCCGGGAAATTATTGCTAAGTGCTACTTAGATGGTATTCTACCCCAACGCCTGGCCCCTTCTATAGTCGAGGAAGGCAAGGATTTTCATAAAGTTATTGTTAATCAGGACCTATATAAAATCCAGGCGGATTGGCTCAAAGAGCATGCTGTTACAATCATTTTTGGAGAGGATTCGGTGGCCACCCCCCTAGACGTTAAAAAACGTCTGGTGAGGGTTTATGAGAATGGATGGGCAGCTGCTCAATACCCAACCACCCCAGCTAAACGGGGACTGTTTCATAACGAAGGAAGAAATCTCATTACTTATATTGCCCCCGCAAAAGTTGTGGCTGAGTGGATGATGCGTTGTGGTCAAACAGAAATCAAGTTGGATAATACCCAGCACAAAGTCCAATTCAGACCGCGGATGACTGAGTATGAACTGTGGGAATGGAGAGAAGTCTCCAAGTTTCGTTTCTTCTGGATCCGAGTACAGCAGGTTCCGATTGGAGTCTTGCCGTTACTCCCTGGAGTAATCCAGGACGCCTACGGGAGCGAAATTATTAAAGAGTATCCAGTCTTTAAGGACAAACTGAACCAGGATCTGCTGAATGTACGATTCGATCTTGAATCTGCGGCAAGACTTCGCTATAAAAAGTTTTTGGCCATTGATTTAGGGTATGATGGATTGGTGGAATTGGAGGTAGTCATTGCTGACACACCATGGTGCCCCCGGTGCCGCAAGCACTTCCACTCGGAAGGTGACGAGGAGTGCTCTGCTCGTGGTAAGAAATCTTACGCTGATGCACTCCAAGTGGATGGGAACGTGAAGGGCCCGGGGGAAAAAAGCACGCAGGTGGAGAAAAACAAGGATCATGGAAAGAAAGGGGAGGATAAGACAGAAGATCCTGTGAAGGAGAAAGAGAAAGAGATAGAGAAAGAGAAGGAGAAGGAGGAGGAGGAAGGGAAGGAGAAAGAGAAGGAGAAAGAGAAGGATAAGGAGAAGGAGAAAGGGGATGTGGAGGATGACGGAGGGAAGAAAGGGGCTAACAGTAAAAGTGATAATGAAAAGGCCCGGGAAGAGGTCAGGGGGGGGGCCGAGGTTAGCCCGGGGAAAGGTCTGAGGGAAGAGGTCAGGAAGGAACGGGGGAAATCGGTCGAGTCTGGGAGAAAGAAGAAGGGTAAAGGGAAAGGGAAGAAGGGCAAGCGTCGGCCGAGGGAGCAGGTGGGTGGAGATCCTTCTAAGGACGATCAACCTATGGATATACTATCCTCCGAGAATGAGTCGATTGACCGAGCTGTCGAAGACAACGACGGAGAAGTCAGGAGGAAAGAGGAAAAGGAGGTGATGGACGAAGATCATATCCCTTTACCAAGGGAAAAGAGAAAACGATCAGATCCAGATAGGGAAGATGTCGAAGAACAGGATCCGGAATTATATGCCCGAGGTAAAGAACTCGTGCTACATACAGGGGACCAACTGGGAGGCCTGGCGCGTTCCCCGTCCTCTGACCCTCCTGAAGAGGGTGAGTCGGAGGGAGAGGAGCTAGAACCACACTCCCGACATGGATCTCACTCAGGCCAAAAGACGACCAGGTTTTTTAACGAAGCTTATGCCTCCTCTCAGGATGAAAGAGAAATAGACTCAGACCTGGGTGTGGCTACCCTGTACCAACTTAGAAGCTCTAAGTCAGGGAACCGGACATCGCAGGAGGTCGTAACCTCTGACGCGGATGGCTCTGATTCTGAGCACGAGGACTTTCATTCTGCAGGGAGTATGTCTGGGCGGTCGAGGGGGGGGGAGGGCTCTGGTAGGAAAGGATGGTTAGCTCTTCCTCCTCCGCCCTCCCCCCCCCCCCCCCCCCCCCCCCCCCCCCCCCCCCCCCCTGCTCAGGGCTGCTCCCCATTCAAAAGGCAGAAGGCCGTGATCCTCAATGAGGAGCTATCACCGTGTACGGATAAGGATCGGTTATTAAAAAGCAGACCGAAGGGGAGTCGAGGGGCCAGGCAGACCTTGAATTTTGCCGCCCCGATGACTACCCTTTCCCGTCAGGACAAGCTACGCGGTCACTCAGCTGAATGGCTAATTCCTTTTATTCTTTTGAATACGCCTCAAGGGTTGATGATATATACGAAGAAAAATGGTGACAAAGCGCTGTCCCTCCCGGCAGTGGAAACGAAGGATTCTCCTCTCGGTGCTGGCTGGGAGTCCAAAGTCAAGAAGCAGGTTTTGTTAGATCATGCTTCCTGTAAGTTGCTGACGATACCAAACAGAGGAAGACATGTCGTAACCAATAAGAAGGGTGGTAAAACAATCCTTCATATTGCTTGTTTCAAATTGGTGGCGGGGGCAAATGAATTGACAGAATTGCAAGCATTGGATATTTACTGGTTTCCCTTAGCGAGGCTGTTTGACTCAAATTCTGACTCGTTGAGGGAGATCTCTCTCCCAGGGGACCTATCAGCCCAAGATGTGGCTGATTGGCTGCTGCACGTGGATGCGTCAGAGGCCTTCTCCTCGGAAGTTTTTTTGATGGAGATGAACCAAAAACAAAATGTGAAAAAAGATCTCCCGCGGCATCAAAATGCGAAGCCGCTCCTCCCTAAAGGGAGAGGCACTGCTCTAAAGCCAAGAGGAGATAGCCGCATCCAACACCCCCGCGGCAGAGGTACGGGTCATGGTCCTACCAAATAGGATCAGAATCCTGACCTGGAATGTACGGGGGTTTGGAGATACAGCCAAGAAATATAAAAAAGCAAGGTTCAAGGATTGGAGTCACAAACAAAACGTGCAAATCGCATGCATTTAAGAAACCAAGCTGAACCCATCAAAAATTGCTGCGGTTCCCCAATTTTTGTCCCCTTCCGATGGAACCAAAGGTGGGGTTGCCATCCTTATTAACAAGGAGTTGGACATCGATATTCTTGACCACTATTATGACGACGAGGGCCGCTGGCTTTGGGTAAAATTTGCTATCGGTGACGACGACTGGGCGGTGATGACCAAATACGCCCCAGTTAGTTATGCTGAACGGAAAAAAATTATGTCGGACCTACCGGCTTGCTTCCCCGATACTGATAACTTGATCCTCACTGGGGATTGGAACACGGTTCTTAATCCAGGCCTGGATACTTTAACGGCAACCCCTCAGCGTTCTGATTCTGTGATCTTAGACTCAATGTGTGAGGCCCAGTCCCTGGCCGATCCCTATCGAATATTTAATCCCGATGACCAGGGTTTTACCTGGTTTGGGCCGCCTCCGACCCCTCACTCTCTTGCGCCTAGAAAACGACTGGATTTTTTTTCTGGTCCGTGGTTCTCCATGGGACAGGAGCACGTGGTGCGACGTCCTTCCGGGGACAGTCTCAGACCACTATCCATTTGTCTATGCTGAGCTGGTGGAACGATGCCGTCCCCCATTTAGGCTAAATATTAATTTGATTAAAGCCCCAGGTGTGTTGGAATGGGTTAATTCTCATTTAGCGTCATGGATGGGGGCTAAAGATTTTTTTCCGAGCAATTCCCAGTGGGCGGACACAGGCATTGCTATATTAAAACAGACACTGATTACATTCTCAAGGATGAAAGCAGCACAAAGGAATTGGAAGGAACGTTCGCTGGTTAAACTAATTTCGCAAGCCGAGTCGGAAATGGGAAAAGACCCATTTTCAGACCGGTACTGGGCTAACATTCATATTGAGTCCTTGAGCCAATTAGAGGCCCTGGAGATTCAGAACCAAGAACAACGATTGGAGTTTTTGAAACTCAGAGGGATCGTGGGCTTCGATAGAATGATCAAGATGACGTTCCAATCGCTCTTACTGAAACAGGCCAAACCATTGATTCGTGAATTATCACACCCCTTTGACGACGACGCACCTATCGCTGTAGATACGGCTCAGATGTGTAGTTATGCCTTAGAATACTATCGTGATATTGTAACAACCCGTGGACCTTTTGACGCGCCGCATTGCGATTTAGCTAGCTCCTCTAACTTCTGGGATTATTCCCACAAGGTAATTACTCAACCTACGGCAGAAGATCTCGACAGACCAATGACTGAACCGGAACTGCTGATAGCAGCTAGGGCAATGGCGAAAGGGAAATGCCCTGGGTTGGATGGCCTACCGATAGAACTGTTTCTCGCCACCGGGGCAGCATTCGCCCCTTTTCTTTGTGACATATACAACCAAGCATTACAAGATGGTGTCTTTCCCAAAGGTTTCACCCAGGGCATGATCTCACTTATGTTTAAAAAGGGTGACAAACGTAATGTCAGGAATTGGAGACCCATCTCGGTCCTGAACGTCACATACAAGCTCTTTGCCAAGACCCCCGCTCTCCGTTTAGCTAAGGTCCTCCCTAACTTGGTTGGTTGGGAACAGGGGGCTTTTGTAAAAGGCCGTTCCATCTTTGAAAACATAATTGCAGTCATTCAAGCTTTGGAGGTCATCAGCAGGGAAAAGAGGGACACTGTAATCCTGCTGTTGGATATGGAGAAAGCTTATGACAGGGTTGGCTGGAGCTTTGTGCAGACGACTCTAAAAAGGATGGGATTTGGCCCGGGTTTTCGTACCTGGGTCAGGGCCTGCTACGAAAACACCTCCTCAGTAGTGCCGGTGAATGGTAAACTCTCGAATGAATTTTATTTATCCCGCTCTCTGAGGCAAGGTTGTCCTCTGGCGCCTTTGTTATTTGTACTTCAATTGGAAATCCTTCTGGACAATATCAGGAGTAATTCATATATAGCAGGCCTCAAACTGTCCCCCAGAATACAGTGGAAGGGAGGGGACTTGGCTGATGACCTTACAGTGGCCTGTGATAATAACGTTAATACTCTGCAGGAACTACGCCGAGTAATAGACAAATATAGTAAACTATCCGAAGCATCTATTAATTGGGATAAATCAGCTTATTTCCTCCCCCCCCCCTTGGGTTTTGTGTGTGGACTGGGGGCTGAAACAAGTCCCGGCTAATACATCGGACCGCTTTCTAGGGGTCCAAGTGTCTTTGACAGATTGTTCTGATGTGCAGGATTCCATCCTCGCCGACAAGGTGGTGGGGAGAATTGCCAAATGGACACGCAATTTTAAACTGTCGCTCTTTGGGAGGGCTTTGGTTCTTTCCGCCGCGGCGTTGTCGCTCCTGTGGTTGCCGCTGTCAGTTCATCTATTGGGAGCAAAGGCTTCCTCTAAGATAAAAAGGGAGGCTGCCCACTATCTATGGAAGCCATCGGCAGACTCTCAGCAGAGATTCATTTGGAAGGTTGCGTGGGAAACGGTGGCCCTTCCTAGGGCGCTAGGTGGACTGGGTATTTTGGACCCAGTCCACCAAAACCTGGCCCTCCTTAGCAAGTGGGTTATCTCGGCGGTCTTTGGCAATTGCTCAAGGCTCCGGGTCAGAATGGCTGAGTATATTTTGTCTAGGGAATGGGCCTTGAGTAGACCAATGGATGTTTGGGCTTGTCTGTTTATACCATCCTATGTGGCCAGAAGGCCGAAATCCAGAATCTGGAAAAATATTATATTTGCGTGGCACAGACTGTTTCCCCAGACTCTTAGGCCACCTCAGTCCAGAATAGAAGTCTTCAACCAATTATTGTTCGAGAATCCGCTCATATGTGCAGAAACAGGAGTTAGTTTTAAAGCGGATGGTAGGACGGGTTCATTTGGTAAGGCTTGGATAGAAAGAGGTATAATCCAAATCAAGGATATCTGGTCTGCAGAGTCACAATCGTGGTTTTCAGTGGAACAAATGAAGCGCAAACTACCAAGGCTACGAAATGTGGAAACCAATTATGACAGACTAATCAACGCCATTCCCCAGTATTGGACTGCTCTCCTCCCGAGCACTGCCGAACACGGCCAAGGGACGTGGGTGCAAGACAGCTCGGGCGCAGAAGAAGTACTAAGAATTGAAGGCCCGGAGCTCCCCCAAGGTATCAAGGTACAAGTCTGGACTCGTGACCGGGGCATTGTGTCAACTCCCCATCCACACCCCCTTACGAGGAAAGAGGACAGAACCATAGCGTCTTCCATCGGCTTATCAGAGTGTAGGGTCTGGCTTTCGGGATCAGGCCCCAAGGAAAAGGCTTATCTTCATGTGGAGGATGCAGAAGGGCTTCATCTGGAACCATTCTTGTATGGTTGGACCCAAGAGGCGGGATTAAAGGCCTCAGTTCCGGTGGCCCTGTTCTCCACTAAAACCGGTTCCCAACTGCTAAGGGCCACAGTGAAGAAGAAACCGATAGTGTCTGCAGCGGCCGGGCTGGCTAAAGAGCCAGGATTCTCCTTGGGAAACCTGGACTTGTTCAGTCATTGGGAAGCTCTGAGACGGATGGTCTCACAAAAACAAGCCAGCCTGATGTGGCTGCAACTAATGACAGTAATTCCTTCGGCCACTTGGCTGGCTTCTAAAGGTATGGATATCTCCAAACAGTGCAAGCGGTGTCTTTGGGCCTGGGAGAGCCTCGCACATTTGGCTCTACTGTCCGTTTTCGATGCAAGTGTGGGAGTGGTGGAAGGCGAGATGGAAGGATTTGGTTGGAGAAAAATTCATGTGGACCCAAGAATGGCTCCTCTTTGGTCTGCAATATGGCCAAGGGGACTTTTCCGCAGGCTGGCCCTATGTCGCGCTAGCCTGTAAGGGAGCCTGCATGGAAACAATTTGGAATGCCCGGAATAGAACGATCTTCAAGCAGGATACAGTCTCCGCTGCTGCACATATTAGCTCTATTAAGGCTCTGATCAGACAGGCCATTTGGGTGGACTGGCGAGGGGGCCTTCAGAGTCGGAATCTGTTTTGGTTTCGGCGTACTTGGGCGCTAGAAAACAGCTCTGCCTCGATTTCGGCGGATGGAAAGTTGGAAATTGCAGACTGGCTCCAGGAGGTTCGAGAGGTTTAGTTTCAGCAGGAATCTCCTGCTTTCGGTTGTCCGTGGCCGTGTTAGGCCTTAGGCAGATTTTTCAGTTTGGTTGAATGGGCCATGTTAGGCCTGGTTTTGGTAGGACAGTAGCTTTGGAGTTAGCTGGTGGTGCTGTTAGAAGTGGTGGTGTATAGATAGATTATTGCTTAGCAGTAGTTAGATTAGACACTGGGCTGGTTCCGGCCAGTTTAGGTGAAGAGTGGGTGGTTGCGTTTGGCTGTTGGAATGGTTTGGTGGGACTCAAAGCGAAACCGGCTGATGCTGCCGGGATAACTCCGGGTAGAATTGTGAGGCCCCCGGCCTCAACTAGATGATTGCTTTTAGTAATAAATGGTCCTGTTTTAAAAAAATAAAAAATAAAAATAAAAATAAAAAAGAAAGAGAGAGAGCATCTCGTTGCGTGGCTGGGCCACGGCCGAGGGAAAAAAAAAAAAAAAAAAAAAAAAAAAAAAAAAA